CCTGTGAAAGTGAAAATGACTTTGAGCTTAAGTTGCAGTTCACTTGTAAACAAAAGGCATCCTCCATAAACATAAAGAGACTGAATAGATAGTCAACAAATTTCTGTTATAATATAGCTTATATCAACTATTTGCTATCTACTATATATTTTGTCTCTCATTATGAATACCACAGAAGGAAGTTTTCAATTTTATAGGGCAGATCGTTCATGCTATATAAATTAAGATAAAATGATATTTTAGTAATTAATAGATTTTATTAGAGTAAAAACAAACTATTCTTATCTCACATCTGAAAGATTGAGCACTTCTACATAAATATGTAATATTTTATTATCAACAGTTTAGAAATCAACATATTTATTATAGCTTACTAGGATAATGGTTTAAAATATCGTACACAAGTGATGATTCAATGCATTCTTTTCTAATGCATTTATGTCTACTTTTCATTTCTACTCAATTAGAATGTATAGTGTTAGCTTTTGTATCACTTTCTTTTTAATCTTTATAGTAAGCTTACTTTAGGTCAGAGTATAAACTATATTTTGTTGCAATATCTAAATAAGTAAACTTCATTTATTATTAAATGAGAAATTTTAGAATATAATACAATTAATTTTAATACTAAAGAATAAATGTAAAGCCCAATCTATCGTTTAATTTACCCCTTGCCATTAAGTTATTCTGCTTTTGCGGAATATTCCCCCTTTCAACAGTAAGCCTGGACAAGGGGCAAATTGAAATAATGAGATTAAGCTTCATATAGTGGTGGAGTGTATATTAATTTCTAATTTATGTGAATATTAACTTACCACTATTCAGTTGCCATCATGTTGATATTAGAGTTTGTATAAGAATATGTAGAAATAAATGAATTCAGGTGAGTTTTCTTCTGAAAATTCAATCCACCTCAATTTCATTTTATTTTATTTGGAAATTATTTTCTTTTCATTCATGTTTCATATGATACAGTGTCTAAGAACACAATTACCAGAAGTAATGTTCAGTAAATTTACTTGTGTAATTGTGTAGAATATCACAGCACAAAAAGTAAATGCAAAAAAAGTGACAGCAAAATCAGTGATAATTTCTTATAATAACACAGTTCATTGTGATATTTGCCAGTGACCAATAAAAATGGACAAAATTAAGTACAACTTAGAAGGGGCAGTGGAGCCCCAGTGGATGGTTAGGAGTAGCAAGTGACTTTACATAATGCCTATATTTGTATTTCATATAAACAAATCTTGTAACAACAACAAAATTCAGGTCACAAGATCACTTCATTTTATCAACAATCTTAAAATATGTTAATGTCAACCACTTGTTCCACTACCAACTGTACAGAAACATGAGGTGCCAGAGATTATATCCATTAGTTGATTTGAAAATTACTTGTATTGTGGTCCTACAAGATAACAATGAACTGGTCAATTGATCCATGTTATTTGTCACAAGATCTTATTCTTTACTTGATCCATTGCAACTCTTAGACAATGAGTAAAACATGTCATTGGCAATAGATATTGTGTGGTCGAAATACTGTTATACATCTTCTTGAAAAACTAAGTGAATGAGTAACGTATAAAATGCATAAAAATATAACAGGCCTAATACTGTTGTCTTGTGACAAGTATAATTAATTATAATCATGCTTTATCAGCTTAGAAAAGGCATTCACACCATTAAAGCATGATTATAATTAATTATACTTGTCACAAGACAACAGTATTAGGCCTGTTATATTTTTATAACATTGTATCCTTTATTTATTCATTCCAGCTTAGAAAAGGCATTCACACCATAACATCTGTTGTTGCAACAAATGGTTTATATAAATAGTGTTCTGACCACTGTGCTTGTGTTCCAGCTGGTCTGATGAGCTCTTTATTGAGTGAAACGCATCATCGGCAATGCATATGGTTGACACAGTGTGGTTTAAATACTATTGTACACTCGTCTTGAAAAACTCTAAGGGACTGCATAAAGAATTTAGTGTTAAAAAATATAACGGGGCTAATACTACTAATGTCTCATGACAAGTGTAATTACAATTGTACAACATTGATAAATATTTTTTCACTTTATGCTTGTAATAACATTTCTTCGTGGTCAAATAACTGTTTCCTGTTATTTGACAATGTGTTTCTCTGAATTTGGGAATCATCAGTTTCCCATCCATGGGCTATTTTATAACTATTTCTTGCTTGTCCTCCTCAATACTCTGACTTTCTTGGAAGTCATTCTCATTATAGAAACTCATCTACAGTAAAATGTTTACTAACACTGATCTAACGCAATTGTACTTTTCGCTGAACATTAAACATTTTGAAATAAAGTGTTAATAAAAACTGGTACTCACTATTACCAAACTTATATTAAGATAATGGTTATGAAAATCTGAAAATATATTTCTCAAAAGAGATAAGACCATATACTTCATGGTCATTATGTTTAGACTTACTATATAAACTTTATTACTTTCACATATACATATATAAATGAATATATTTCATTTTATAAGATGGTACAATGTACTTCAAAGTAGCTGTAAACCTGCGAACTGAAAATAATGTTCAGCTTCACATACAAGCATAAACCCACAGTGCAATCCTACACAATCAAAGAGAAAACCAAACTGATTAGTCGTACCTACTGTCACACAAGTATAGCTGAAGCCATCTTTTTCCAAACCCCAGGACTTTAGAACAAGATAATTATGTTATTCTTCTCTTTCTGAGAAAAGCACTTGTTCAAAAATATACCAATTTAATTATAAAATAAAGATTTTATGAAGTACTTTAACTCGAGTAAACTGTTCTAAAAGCATATTTCTTCAATTTTTTATAATGATATTTTAAACTCAATGCTTCCCCTTTTTTATTATAATTTTTTTAATGGTGTAAACAAATATTTTATTGACTAAAATGTTGAAATGCTTAACAGAAATTACAAAATGAACATGATCACTATTCATAAAAACTGGAAGTAAATTTTTTGTCATTATTCACATTTAAGGACCTATAACACTAAAATTAAAAACTAATGGACATGGAGCTCATATTTATATATCTTGTACTTTTTTAGTCATTGTTCAAAATTTCAAATATTTATGTAGAGTAACAACACGGCAAATGTAGGGCTGGAGATGTTCAATTAAATTAAACTGCAGTCAATTATTGTAATTAAATTGATAAAATCTGAATAAATTTAGACCTCATATAGCTATAAAATGGCCTTTTTTCATGTTAAAATTTAAAAAGGCTTATACAATAACCACTTACTTTTAACTTTACTAAGCACATAAAATCTCCATTATAAAAACAATGACAATAACCAGTAAAATAATTAGGTTTAAGGATATAAATTTCTAGATTTTTGTTAATTTATTTTAAAGTATCTTAATTTTTACATTTGTTGAAATTCTGTAACTGGATCCCTTTTCAAGTATTCCACATAACAATCTATCTTCAACTAGATCTGATATTTTCCATTTATCACATAATGGGGAAGGTTATTTATATTTTCAACATCTAAAGTATTCAGATATTTCTTATAATTACATAGAAATGTATAACTCAAAAACATGAACCATTTGTGCTTTAAATTAATTACACAATATTTTAAGCTTACTTCTATAAAATGTTAAAATTACAAATTTTCAGTCTGAATTTAGTTATATCAATCAAAAAGTGTTTTGCTTGAATATGTTGAAAATTATAAGTAGAAATTATTATAACTAAGATCTGTAATTTAGACAGCTTAGAGTATATAGTTCATTATAAAACAAACTGTTATATAAAAATTACTGCCTACATAAGAAAAATCCTGAAAATTAATCCATTTTACTTTATTTTCATTTCTACCATTTCTTCTAACCTTTTCTTTCAGTGTTTCGATTATGAAAATTATCTAAGAAAATATCAGAAATATAATTATAATTACTTAAATTCATATCAGCAGTATTATTAAATTACTGATTTAAATCATAAGGATATAATATTAGGATAAAAGTTTTTACATAGCAATTAATTTATTTTGACAATTTCTAAAATAGTTATAACAGCGGAAGAAAACAAATAATGGAATTAAAATTTTCTAACACTGTGTAATTCTCAGTATTATTTTCACTTTGAGATCTATGCAAATCTGTACATAAATGTAATGGAGTTGAAGTTTCACCAACACATGGAAAATTACATAAACTACAAGTTAGAAAACATACCTCATTTTTTACCTAACAGGAAAGAGACTAGAATAAGATAGGATGAAAAGATTTTAAAGCATGTTTTTTTTGTAGGGCATCTTTTGCTATTGCATGTTATAAAATTATTAGTCCCTGAAATTCTATAATTAGCTAGCTAGGTTAAATTTTAGTTGACAAACAACTAGCACATAAAGTACCTGTATAACTGTGTCCATTATTTAAGAAAAACAAAAGCACCTAACTACTCAGGTAACAAATTGCCCCAAGTTTTATAAACATATAAAAATGAAAAGTAAGTATGCAAAAAATCTGTAATACCTAGAATTTATTTAAGATTATTAATAGAAGTATATATAGACAAGAGATAACATAAAAATTTTATAAAAAACAATGTTTACTAGAATATTTTCTTTGTAAATCTTACAATTATACCTTCAGCAAAACATTCAAAAACCTTGGAAGGTTTTTAACACTGAAGGCAAAACAAACACTTTTTTTGCTCAAAGACATGTTTAAAATGACTAACATCACAAGTGGGAATTACTTACCCAAAGGTAAGAAAATTCTAACTATGTGTATGATTAGAATTCTATCCTGCTTGTTAAGTTTCATTAAAAAAAATATATATGCAAACTGGAATTATGGTGTTTAGTCTTTTAAGTGTAATGAGATAAACACATCTGCAAATGTAAATTTTTTACCAAACCAAATGGAAATTAAGTCACTTATAATTTATGGTAGTTTCACCATGACTGTACGTATATAGCTTTCAAGTTGTCATGATCCTTACCGTGTCTATCTGATTTCTCACCACAGCAGCTAGCTGATGCACATCAACAATGGTAACAGGCAAAGACTTGGGAGCCATAGTATGAAAAAACAACAACAATTAATTCAGTTTTCTGAGAACCTGGCCAGGTCACTCTCACTCTGGAGTCCTATACATTTTCTGTGTTTTAGGTACAAGTTGCCCACCATCTCTTTGAATGAATTTAATGGATATAAAATTGCCTGGAAGTAAACAAAAGTGTTACATATTACAAAAAAATACAGAATCAAAGTATAAAAACAAGATAATTATTTCTATTACACTTTTAATCCCATTCTGTAGAATTTGTAGCGTGTTTGTACACACGTCATTCAGGAAAACTAGTTAATATATATTCATATATAAATAAAACACACATAATAATTTTTTCCTAATAATCTATGTAGAGATAGACTAAGCACAAAAATAGTAAAGCTGTTAACCGCTTATCAAAAAATGGATGGTGCTCCTTACAGGTAATGTAGAACCACAATGTCTGTACCTTTTATGTAACCCATTTTCAATAATAAATGTGTATTGTCAAAGAAATTTAATACAGGTGAACTATAAAAACACCAAAATGTCTATCTTGAGTAAAATTCAGTTTGTTTTTTTAGTTCACAAAACTGATGGCAGTATTGCAAAAGATATAATCAATGCCTGTACAGGTTAATGTTGAAATCAAGGAATATGTTTCCTCCAATATAACTTTTGTAAATTCATACTTCATTTTCCAATATTATTCTGCAAACACTATTCAAACAAATGACTTCTCAGAAAAAATTAGCTCTTCCACATACAGATCTTGGTATGAATGTATTTGGACTATTACTACGATTCTATACTTAAAACTAAAGATAAAATTTTTATTTATCATTATAACCAAATTTTCATTTTTGTATCTGACAATACATGCATCTGATCAGATTAAAAGAAAATGGCATTATTACTCTCCTATGTTGGCAAATCTTTTGTAGTCCTTCACAATTGACAAGTACCATCACACTAATGCTCTAAAATGCCTGTAAAAGGAATTTTGTATGGACTTGTTAGAGTTCCCATCAAGTCTGTCATGACATTCACTGTTTTGGATCTCCTACTAAAATAAATACTTTTCAATTCAGATCCTGTTATTATTTGTCATGGCATTAGCCATGTAATCATCTGCTGTTCATATATGCAAACAAGCTCACAGATAACTCTGTGTGACCCTGTTAGTTGCTGACTCCAATACTTAAATTTAAAGTGGCCTACATTAAATGTTACACAAGCAAATATACAATATTTTCGAACTATACTGATGTAAACAGACAAAAATGTTGGTCACTAAGCATTCTACTGTGGACAAGCTGCACGTAAATATTGTATGGAGTATAACTAAGTGTGAATGACTGTGTGTGGTAACACAGTACAGTGTATACAGCTCAGTTAGTTATATTACCAAAAATTATTTATATATATACACCTGGAAAAAAGTTAAGCACCCCCGTGTTTTTTTCAAGTGATTCAGATTCGACGTTCTTGTGACTGATTATAAATTACCATTCAATCTAAACGTGTTTATCTAA